AATGGATGTCATTCTGCACCCACAATCACATGCAAAAGTGGCCAAGCAATGGAAAGAAGGGACGGCATGGGATATGCAGCATGCCCGTTCATCCATTTTTCCAAAATCTAAATGTATATAACCTGAAATTTACATCAGATTTGTGTGGTATGTATGTAAACGCCCCTTTTTATAATTTTCTTCAAAGTAGGAGAGATTATCAGCAAAACTTTAAGGTATTGAACTCCACATGCAGAGAAGATTTGCACCAGGAAGTGATACACAAAGTTGATGAGAGGAGAGAAGGGATTTACCTGGAAGGGGATAAATGCCGAAGAGAGGAGTTGCTGGCCTCCTAGGATTAACGCCGAAGAAGCAGAGAGAGGAGCTTATTGCGGACGGAAGAAGCAGCAAGAGAGCTGAGCTTATTGCTGATGGAAGAAGCTGCGAGGGAGTAGAAGGAAGCAGGGAGCGGCTAGGGATCGCGAGGTAGGCAAAGAGCGAGGTAATTCGCGACAGTTTATGTGAAGGGCAGCGGAAGTAATTCAAGGTTAAACGCAGCGAAGGAAACGCTAACCGCAGGGGTAATACCGCGGGTCAGATTATGCCAAATTCGAAACTACGTTTTTTAAAAAGCTGGCCGAACGTGCGAAACAAACACTACAACGGCGTTTTCAAAAACGCCACCACAGTTTTAAGCTGCCCCAAACGGGCCCTTAGTTTTAGATCTACTCAAACGAAGACCTTTAGACTGCAATGTGGACCTCCATAATTCGGATTTTTCTTGAACTCTTTCTTTAGTTTTATCCACAATAAGGATATCATCAACAAAAAACTTACCCCAAGATACATCCTCCTGTAAATGTTCAGTAAGAGCATCCATAACTAAAGCAAAATATGAGCTTAAAGCTAATACCTGATGTAATCCGACTGAAATAAGAAAATACTTGTTCAATCCTCCTGTTCGAACATAAGTAACAACTGTAGTTTATATAGCTTTAATGACTTGAATATAAGACATATCTACACTTTTCCTCTTTAGAACTCTCCTAAGGACTTCTCTTGAAACCTTATCGTAAGCTTTTTCTAAATCAATGAAAATCGTAAATACATTCTTCTTATTCTCTCTGTATTTCTCCATCAAACCTCTTAATAAATGTATAGTTTCCATAGCAGACCTGTCCAACATAAACCCAAACTGATTATGAGAAATTTTTGTGTCACGTCTTAACTTATGTTCAATTGCCCTCATCCATAATTTTAAAGTACGATACATCAACTTAATTCCTCTATAATTTGCACACTTTAATGAATCGCTTTATTTTTAAAAATGGGTACAAAAATACTATTCCTCCACTCAAACATCTTTTAAGTTTTTGAAATAATATCAAAGAGTTTAGTAAGCCAAGAAACTCCCAAATCACCTAAATATTTTCACACATCAATTGGAATATCATTTGGTTCTATTGCTTTTCCACTCATATATTTTTTTTAAAGTTTTATCAACTTCTTTTCTACTAGTACGACAATAAAAATAAAATGTTATATTGTTGTTAACGATATTAAAATCAATAAAGATGATTGTATTTAAAAAAAAATTATTTAGAAATTTATCAAAATAGCTCACCTACTTATGTTAAATCTCTTTCTCTAAGAAAATACTTTTTATTTTTCATGTTTAATGCTCTTTACTTGAATTAAATCTTTACTTTCCTTTCTTTCTACTAGTTTGTAAATATATTTTTCTCCATTATTAGTATCTAATTTATTATAAAAATCAATGAAAACAAAATTTTTAACATCACAAATTCTTCTCTTAGATTTCCTATAAATCACATTATATTTTCCCCAGTTCTCCATGTTTTTACATCTAAACTAAGTTTTATAACACAATTTTTTATGTTTTTTCTTTCCTTGCATATTATTATTCCATCACCAACTATTTTTATTTATAAAAAACTTTTCATTTTGATTATCCGAATACATCTTGTCACTTGTTTAATAGTGTTTGTTACTTTATCCCACATGGAATTCACTTCTTCATGAACATTCTAAAATTTTAAACTTGAAGTTTAGTCATAAAAATAATTTTATTTGCCTTTTTAGATGCCCCCATTTATTTTTATGATAATATGTTCTTATATTTTTTATCTTACAATTATTCATCTTAAAATCTAGAACTAATAATTGATGATGAGTACTTAAATTTTTATTTGGAATGAACTTACAATCTTTACACTTTCGACAATCTCTTTTATCATAAAAAATAATCAATTTGTGTTTTATTCGATCAACTCTTATAAGTAATAACATGCTCATCTCTTTTCTTAAATAAAGTATTGGCTATAACAAAATTATACTTTAAAACAAAATCTAATATATTTCTACCTTTTTCAATAATCACTCCAAAATCGTAGCCACCATGAATATTTCTAAAGTCTTCTACGACTCTACCAACATGCCGACTATGCCAACATGTCCATTTAAATCAACTCTAATATTTTTTTTTTCAAGAGGTATCTTTTGTATTATTTCTTCTAGTTCATTCCATACTTTTTTTTTTGAACATATATCTAAACTTTATTGTGGAGCATAAGCACTTGTAATATTAAAAATCTTAGTGTCAATAACAATTTTGATGACTATAATTATATCTTTAATTCTATTAATTTTTATAATATTATCTTTCAAAATCTTTTTTATGATTACACCTACTCCATTTCTAGTGTGACTTCTACCTGAATACAAAAGTTTAAAACCAAAACTACAATCTCCTTAGCTTTTTCTTTAACCCATTTAGTTGCTTGAATACATAAAATATTTATCTTCCTACGAATTATAATATCGACTATTTTCATTAATTTATCCGTGAGAGTATTTATATTCTAAGATCTTATCTTAATATTAGTTTCATGAATTAATTTCTTTTCTTGCATCTGTCCGTAATGTGAGAACCTTTGCTTATTTGACACTACACCCGAACACCGGTGTGACAATTTTTGCACACTTTTCATTATATTCAGACGACACAACGCGTCGCTTTTAAGGGACGCTCTAGCGATTACACATGGATTTAAATGATTCACATCATGCTTTTTTCGATAAATTTTATGTTGGCTGACGACTATCTGATGTAACCCTCCACTTTTCACATCTTAGTGTTTGGGGCTAGGTAATGAGAGTGTTAAATATATGAAACACACACAAAATTAAAATGTAGGAAAATGGACCACAATGTCTTACTAATGCAGCTGACTAAATATCCCTATAAAAATTTGAGTGCTTTTATTATGCGATCGTTTTAAGATGTTTTGAAAAGAGTAATTCAAGTGTTTATCAAATTTGCAATCTCTTTGATGCTTTCATTGGGTGATCTCTCTTGTAATCTATTTGAAACAACCGTTTTAGTAAATTTACTTCAAATACTTTTCTATGAAGTAAATAGTTTTCGTAGATTTAATTTTTTTTTACCCCTCAAATTGGGTGTGCTTGTACTCACCTATTGTATTAGAGTACAGTGGTGTGAAGGCTACTTTGTGATTGTAACGGAGAAAGTTTCTCTGCCTTTAGGAGGGAACTTTGTGGAATCTTAAAATATGTTTCTGTTGAAGTGTTGCATATATGTAAATTCAATCTTAAATCACATACGAAATTCTTTTTGCTTTTTCACTTAGATATACTTTCTTGCACCGGTAGCTTATTTAGTTTTATGACTTGCATGTTTTTATAATGATGTTTGAAATGATAACATTCTATAGTTGCTTTGTTCAGTAGGGTTCTTTTATTGTGCTTATTCTATTATTACTTTCAATATTATTTTTACACCATCAGCATTTTGTTTTGTTGAGATTTATATGTTGTGTGGCTTTGTTGATTACAACAACAATAACAAAGCCTTAATCCCACAACGTGGGGGTCGGCTACTACATGAATCCTTTTTCTCCATTGCGTCCTATTAATATGTTGTGTGGCTTTGTTGATTGATGTATTAAATTACTTACAGCTTGTGTGGTTGAGTTTCTAGACATCATTTTTCATCGAAGTCTTATGATTCATGTATACGGCGTAATATTGCACTTAATATCATTATATATCTGTTTGGTTACACTTACAAGTTGATTTGCATAAATGCATGTAATTTTCTAATATTGAGTAATATTAGTTCCATCGTGCCTAATATTTCAACACTTTTATATTAGCATTACATATTTTGCACATCTTAACATTCCTACACTAACATGCATATATATTATTTAATTGTCAAATTTTTTTTATCATGTCCCAATGACTTGATTGTTAAGTTCGAATTGATAGAATTTTATCAAAAATTTTTTTAAGTGTCATCATTGATTGATGGTTTGTTTATCATGTGTCACAAGTTTGATTATTGGGGGTTGAATCAGTTGGATTTCAGAAGCAAATTATATGATATCATCACATCCTCAATTGACATCACCCTTAACAAATTGATGTTTGTGATATCGACTCGGTCGTTGAAAGCTCTCTGTGAAGCCCACCCTTATCATGTAATCATCTTAAAGGGGCGTTTACATACACACAACTCAATTCCTATGTATTTACATATCTAACACCTAAATAGTAAACTTTATTTTGGCATTTATACCGCCCAAATCTTTCATATCACTTAAAAAATACCACCAATTTACTTTTAAAAAGTGAAATACACCTTTTTTTTATGCATAGGTAAGGTGGCATATGTGTAGAAATTGAAGTTTAGTTGGATATAAATACATAGGAATTAAGTGACTTGTATGTAAATATTCTTATATCTTTAATGGTTTCAGACTCTACCCCCAGCTGTATTGTTGGCAAAGGTTGCGGATGAAACCTGATACATCTTCTGTCTCGTTTTTATGCTCTTATTGTTTGCTTGTTGGCCGTGGAGTCTCTTGAGCACTGCAAACTTGATAAGATTTCTCAATTCTATTTTACAATCTTATTATTTTGCTTATTGTTCTACTTTTGTTCCTTTTATAAATTTTTTCAAATTTTAAATTTTTTACTTTTTGTTTGTTCCTTTTAGAATTAATTAAGCCTTCCTTTTTAATTTTGGTAGATTCCTTGTGTTCTTACTTTTTATGGACTGTAACATTTAATTTATGTTTGTTCAATGTTATTGTTGTGATTTTGTCTTTCAGTCATTTTTTTGTCTTTATTATTTTGGGACTACGGATTAATTACAACAAAGCAAAACTTTGGGTGCTTAAATTAAGATCTTGTATCTTTGATGGTACAATGACCGGACTATTTTTATTGGTTCTGTTAGTATTCGTGTTTGCCTTGCTGTATTGTTCCTCTTTTAAGTTCCCCACAGCTTCTACAGTTATTTGACTGCTGCACTTTTGTGGTTAGAATTTTTATCCTGAATTTCTTTATAAATATAATCACGAGGCATTTAGGACAGAAAAAAGAAGTCAGAAGTGATTGATTTGAATAGATTTTTTATTCTTGTGTGAAGTTTATTTTATTTAATTTTTTAATTAACACTATCATTGCCGGTCCCAAGCCCAGATGTGAAAAGTGGAGGGTTGCATTAGGTAGTCGACAACCAACGTAAAACTTGTCCGTAAAACTTGTCGAAACTTGTCGAAAAAAATTATGACATGAATTCTTTTGATCATTGTGTAAGTGCTAGGGTGTATCTAGAAGCGACGCGCTGTATAGCCTGAATACAATGGAAAGTGTGCAAGAGCAGCTACACCGGCGCCTGGGTGTAATGTCAAATAAACAAAGAGTTCCCACATTACGGACGAACGCATGTAAAGAAATTAGTCCATGAAACTAATGAAACTAATATTAGGATATGATCTTGGAATATTGATACTCTCAATGGTAAATTAATGGAATTAGTTGATATTATGATTTATAGGAAACTTAATATCTTATGTATTCAAGAAATTAAATGGGTTGGAGAAAAGACTAAGAAGATTGATAATTAGGTTTTAAACTTTGGTATTCTGGTAAGAGACACTAGAAATGGTGGTGTAATTATTGATAAAAGTTGGAAAGATAATCATTGATACTAAGATTTTTAATTTATATATGTGCTTATGCTCCTCAAGTAGGTTTAGATGCAGAGTTTAAAGATAAATTTTGGAATTACTTAGAAGACTTAATACAAATGATACCTCTTGAAGAAAGAATTTTTATTGAAGGAGATTTAAGTGGACATGTCGGTAGAATGGTAGAAGACTTTAAATATACTCATGGTGGCTACGGTTTTGGAGTAACTAATGAAGAAAGTAGAACCATTTTAGATTTTGCTTTAGCGTATAATTTTGTTATTACTAATACTTTATTCAAGAAAATAGATGAGCATCTTATTTTTAACAAGAGATCTATTCTACCGTATCGCATCCAATTCCATGCCTCCCTATTGAATGGAGTTTTTATTCTTTCTTCAAATGAAAAATCTTTTGAAAGAAGCCAAAAATCGGATTCTGTAACCTACTACCCTCGGGTTACTTTCTTTCATCCCGGAAGTTCCCCCGAGAGAAAGAGAGTCAATAGGAATTATCTCAGGAATCCTCTCTACTATAGAACCCCTAGGACTAGGAGCAATAGATTGAAGAGGTACGACATCTGTCAAGTCAGTAACAAAGGGAGAAGGAATAAAAGCCAGGGGCGAAGAGGTATATAAAACCTCATCTAAGGCCACTCCTTCAGCAGCAAAAAAGGACTTTCGGTCAGTTCAAGTACAAAGAATTACAAATTGAGAGGTAGGGATGCTCTCACCTGTGTGTGCTAGAAGAAGGGAAGACCCGCCTTTGTTTTCTTTTTCAAGAAAGAAACTCTCGCCTTTTTTTTCTACTTGACTTGGCTCGGTAGAGGATCGAAAAGAAAATCATAAGTGAATGTGAACAGCCAGAAACAGAATGAGAACGAAAAGGCATAGTATACAAGATTACCCGGGATTGACAGAAAACCAGGAAAGTAGGGCATCATATAGTAAAGCCGGAGTCAAGACGGAATGCCTCTTTTACTGCCTGAAATCGATCGTACATTTCACCAACTTCCATTTCAATAGCTGCCAGAGAGAGGGAAAGTGAGAATCTAGGCATTGGTCTCGGAAAGCCCTCCCTAGGGACCGGGGAAGCTTCATGGCATCTATCCAACTCTGTTGCCGGGGAAGATAGCTCCTTCAGTGACTTGGTGGCATTTCTTCTCTTGGAGGAATGTTATTTTGAATCAGCGTAGTAAGGCTAAATAGGCTGAGAATAATTGGGCTGACTTATAGGTAGTTTGAATCTTCATCCTAAAAGAAAAAGACCAGAAAGACATTAGCGAACATTGAACCAGATACCGTTGAGCTAGATGTCAGAAAGAGTGACAGTGATGAGGAGCTGGATGACATTCTTTTTTATGGAATACCTGGAGATAGGCCAAGCCGATTAGACGGAATTAGTGATTGAGGTCTTACCCTGGGATTCGACTTGCCTTTCTTTCTTGCTTTTAGAACGGAGAGGGATGACTTGCCTTTCATTCTTGCTTTTAGAACGGAGAGGGAATCTAAAGTATGGCAGAAAATCCGAATCCTCTTTCTCGGTTTTCATATAACTAGCGTCGTATCAAAGCCCCAACAAGCTTCGACTGTGAAGGAGAAATTTTCTATCTCCGATATTTCATATGAGATTCTATAGATTCTAGAGAACATATGTCACAACTGGCCTGCGCTTGATAGATTCTGATTGATTCGTTTGGATCTTGGTCCATAATGACCTTTTTCTTGATTTTGACGATTTGATCTCTCTATGAATGGAAAAGGGGTGCTTCGGATCGGGAGTAAGCACTACTGATAGGGCAAAGGGGGAAATGACATAGGAAAGAGAGATGCCTACTTTCAGTTATTTGCTTCACCATGGTAGAGAAGAAAAACGGCGCACAGACCGTACTCGAGCTTGGATTAAGAAAAAACAACGGTCAAAACTGATAGGCTTGGGCTTGCGGGTGATGGCAATTTCAAGTTCATTAACTTTGTACAGAGCATCTCGGAGGAAGATGAGCAATGTTCACGGAAAAAGAACATCAATTTTGTCCATGTCTTACTTATCAAAAAGAAGACCTTTGTGACCGTGACAGATGCTAAGGGGAATAAGAAGACTGGGGCCTCCGCAGGTTGTTTGGAGGAAAGAAAAGGGCGGTCTCGTCTTTCTCGGTATGCTGCTGAAGCAACTGCGGAACATGTCGGGCGATCCGCCAGAAAGATGGGTTTGAAGTCAGTTGTCATGAAAGTGAAAGGATCTACTTTTTTCAGGAAAAAGAAGAAAGTGATCTTGAGCTGGAGAGAAGGTTTTTGAGGTGAAGGAGTAGGCGCGATGTCGGTAGAGTGATAGAAGTCTTCAGATATACTCATGGTGGCTACGATTTTGGAGTAACTAATGAAGAAAATAGAGTTATTTTAGATTTTGCTTTAACGTATGATTTTGTTGTTACTAATACTTTATTCAAGACATCTTATTACTTATAAGAGTGGATCTAATAAAATATAAATTGATTATTTTCTTATGAGAAGAAGAGATCGTCGAGATTGTAAAGATTGTAAGGTCATTCCAAGTGAAAATTTATGTACCCAACATCGTTTATTAGTTTTAGATTTTAAAATGAAGAGTTGTAAAAAAAATACTAGGACTCATCATCATAGAATTAGATGGGGAAAGCTAAAAGACAAAAACAAAATTATTTTTATGAGAAAATTCAAGATTTTAAAATTTGGGATGTTCATGAAAAAACAAATGTTATGTGTGATAAAGTAACATGATAAAGTAACAAACACTAAAGTAACAAACACTATTAAATAAGTAACAAAAGATGTACTCGGAGAATCAAAAGAAAAAAAATTATAAATAAAAACAGTTGGTGGCGCAATAATAATGTGCAAGAAATGATAAAATATAAGAAGTTATGTTATAAAAATTGGTTTAAATGTAAAAGCTTAGAGAACTGAGAAAAAATATAAAACGACCCGCAGGAAGTCTAAAAGAACAATTCGTGACGCTAAAAAATTTGCTTTCAATGATCTTTATAATAGATTAGGTATTAAGGAGGGTGAAATATATATATATATATATATATATATACATTAGCCAAACAAAGAGAAAAGAAAAGATTTAAATCAAGTAAAGTATATTAAAAATCAAAATTAAAAAGTACTTTTCTTAGAAAAAGATATTCAACATAGGTGGGTGAGTTATTTTAATAAATTTTTTAATGAAATTTCTGAAAATACAAGTAACCTCAGTGATCTTAATATCATGAATAATAATAAATATTTTATTTTTACTGTCGCATTAGTAAAAAAAAGTTGATGAGGCTTTAATGAAAACCAAGGGTGGAAATTCGGCTTACTAAATTCTTTAATATTATTCTAAAAACTAAAAAGATGCATGAGGAGTGGAGGAAGAGTATTTTGATCCCCATTTTTAAGAATTAAGGGGATGCACAAGAGTGTGCACATTATAAAGGAATTAAGTTGATGTGTCATACTTCAAAATTATGAGAGAGGGTAATTGAACATAGGTTAAGACGCATGACGAAGATTTCTCATAATCAATTTGGATTTATGCCAGGCAGGTCTACTATGGAAGCTATACATTTATTGAGAGGTTTGATGGAGAAGTTCAGAGATAATAAGGAGAATCTACATTTGATTTTTATTGATTTAGAAAAAGCTTACGATAAGGTTCCAAGAGATATCCTTTGGAGAGTTCTCGAGAAGAAATGTGTTGATATGACTTATATTCAAGTCATTAAAGATATGCATACTAGAGTTGTTACTTGTGTTCAAACTGAAGGAGGATTGACCAAATATTTTCCTATTTCTGTTGGATTACATCAGGGATCGACTTTAAGCCCATATCTTTTTGCTTTAGTTATGGATGGTCTTACTGGACATCTACAGGAGGATGCATCTTGGTGTATGTTTTTTGCTGATGATATCTTTCTCCGGATAAAACGAGAGAAAAAGCCAGGAAAAACTTGAATTATGGAGGTCAACTTTGGAGTCTAAAGACCTTCCTTTAAGTAGAACTAAAACTGAATACATGAAATGTAATTTTGATAGGCAAACTCTACTTGAGATAGAAGAAAATCCCATTGTGCAATATTCTTTCCCACATAGTAATGAAGTAGGTTTTCAAGACTTCTATTAACAACTTCTGTTTGCCATCAGTTTGTGAGTGGAAAGAGTAACTATATTGAAGTTTGGTTCCCAATTCATAATGTCTTCGAAAAGTGTCTTAAAAACTTAGCATTTTGATTTGATGTGATAGTACATGGAATGCCATGTAAACAAACCACCTCTTTGAAATACAAATCAACAATGTGAAAGGTGTCTAAAGAGGTTTTGCATGGTACAAAGTGAGCCATCTTGGAGAAGCTATCCACCACCACCACCATCATTTCACATGACGGTCCACATCTTTATGCATAAAGGGCCAATATAATTTGTTTTTTTAGAAGAGCTAGAGTCTTATCTCTCCCAAAAAGGCTAGCTAGGCCCCTATTATTGCCCTCCACCAATATGGCTTCTCTAATGGAACACTTATGAATGCATAAATACTTTCCTTTGAAGGGGAAATCCTCTTTGATGTAGAAGGTTCTGTTGCTGCTATGTTACTTCAAAATCAGGATCCTCGACATACATTCCCGATATTAGTTCGAAACCCACAACTTTAGCTTGCAAAACTGATAGAATAGCTTAAAACATCAACTACTTGATTGGGCCGAATCAGTTCATGATTGACGTTCCACCTTGGGGTATTGCTCATTTATATGGGTAAATCTTGTCACGTGGAAAAAACTAAAAATAGTCTGTGGTAGCCCGGAACAGTGCTGAAGTTGAATTTCAGTCTGTCTTTGGGAATCTGTGTAGTTCTTTGGTTACACATCATTCTCTGTGAACTTCGTATGCTAACCTCTGCCCCGCTGCAGCTATTTTGTGATAATAAAGCCGCAATCAACATTGCTCACAATCCAATCTAGCATTGTCGTACCAAACATGTGGAGATTGACAAACACTTTATCAGGGAAGAGATTGAGCCTGGGAAAGTTTGTGTTTCTTTTATGCCTTCCAGTGGTCAACTTGTGAATATCTTCTCCAAGAATTTTCCTTGTCTTTTGTTTGATGATTTTAAATTCAAGTTGAACATGACGGACATCTATGCTTCAACTTGAGAGGGAGTATTAAATTTATAACGGTAATCTCTAACTGTTATTATTTATTATTAACTTTTATTCTCTCATTATGTTTTTTTTTTTGCTTTATTCTATTATATTTCTTTCTTTTATTGTGTATATTGTAATTGAGTTTAAATACCCCTCGTTCTATCAATAATAATATGTTGCCCTTTTCCAAACCTCAACAAACCTATTATTATTTCAACTCACATATGCATCCATTGTGTTAGACTTCAAACTTAAGATCTTGTGATTAGTGACAAAGCATCCAATCATTAAGTCAAACGGTTTGTATATTATGCATCATGAATGATTACATGTGTTGGATAGCTTGCTTCATGGTATTTTAAGTTTGATGCATTTGCTGTGCTGATCAAATATCAGGTTTTTGCCTTAAAATAAGTGTTGAAAGCCATAAAACTATAAACTTTGTGCTAAGCTTCAAGTTTTTCTGCAGTGTTTAAATTAATGGGACCCGGTTTTTTTAAAATTCTAATATATGCTTTTGGCAAAACAAAGAAATCTCATAATTAATCTTATGCGCTATCATTTCGCATGTAAGAAATATGTTTGCTGTGCAAATCTGATGGCAAAAGAAATAAAAGGCAACAAAAAAGAGGTAATTGGCATATCTACTTGCAAAAATGTATCAATAAAGACTCCAATAAGCAAAAGTGTATTTCGTAGTCAAGGATAGAAGATATTATTAGGAGCCTCAAATTGGGTTTGCGGGTGGCTGTTTGACCTGAGACCATGCTTCTGTGCAGGTTTTTTTAAATATGATGCAAAGCAATTGTGATCACAAGACATTTTGGCACAGATTAGGATTATATTATGATTTTTATCATAAATAGATACGACAGGTGAGGTGAGGTGAGGTTCATATTATTATGATGTTATGAGACTGTTGTGACGCATGTGAATTTGCAAAGCATTATGTGTTTGAAATGAGGTGTTTGAGGGGAAAAATTTGTGTAGTAAGAGCTACGCAGCGCTGCGTACATCAGGTTTATACAGAGGGTACAAGGCGGTTATATCCACATTATATCTTCTATAACATTCATATAACCTACATGTAACTTACATGTACTTTCTATTAAGTTCCACAGTTCTGTTTTCATATATTTGTAGGTTATAGGTAGATTACGGAGATATTACAGAGGATATAACGCGAATATACCCTATGTATCCTCTATATAACCCTAACGTATGCAGCGCTGCATACGTCTTACGTACGCTAATTTTTCCCGTGTTTGAGCGCATGCTTTGTTGTAGAAGTTCGGAACACTTGAAGATTATGATGCACGTCTTGAAGCATCTACAACTACGACACAAGCAATTATTAAAATGTAAATCTTGGCGCTACAAATCTTGCAACACACTCGAATATTTATTTGGGACCATTTTTTTTTTACATTATATTTAATATATTTTATATTTTTTGAAAGATTCCAAAAGCTTTCTAGTGTTTTAAAAATGGTTGTATTTTATTTGAATATACTACATATTTAATTTTAATATATATATATATATATTAAAGTTATTTATATTCTCTATGTATTTACATATCTAACACCTATATTTTTATTTTTTACATCTATATCAACCAAATCTTTCAAATCACATAAAAAATACCTCCATTTTAACTTTCAAAATACACATTTTCATGCATATGTAAAATGATACGTGTGTAAAAATTGGATTAAGGTGTTAAGATATGTCAATTGTAAATACATAAGAATGGAGTGGTATGTATGTAAATATTTCAAAATAAAAATATCCCAAAAGTCAATTTGGCTTAAGAAGCACTAGTTGCCCTCCGTTAAAGCATACAACTAACCAGTCTCAATTCAAGACAATCATTTTCCTGATAAACAGATTAGAAAAAAAAACCTGAGTGGTTGCAGCCAGACTTTTAAACGCGCCTCACCACATCCCACAAATGCAAGAAAAATGCAGCAGAACTCATCAACCTTTATAGAAATACAGAGTAATTTCTCTACAATCAAAGTGAGTAAGAGAGAAAGCATTTCTTCTTCATATGAAGATGATAAACAATCAAAGAAACCAAGAAAACCCACCCAGCAATTCTCTCTTTTGCACTCTTCTGAACACTCCTGTCCAGGCTCGCCATTCAAACACACAGCTGCCGTGTTCTGTGTTTGCCTAGAACATCTCCTGGGACCGCCTCACGATGAACCTAACTTTCTTTTTGAATTCGTCCCTCCTTTCTCTCCAATCCTTCTGCAAAAGCCCAAAAAATTATGAGATTCAACTTGACACAAACTTTAAATTATTGTTGCCAGTTCTTCTACCACCTTATCTTCACCAACCTGTATTCTAAATTCAAAAGTTTCAGGGGGAAATTTCAATGCAGCTACTATAAAAGAAATCAACAGTGATTAAACCTCGATGATAGAATTCCAAAAAATGTCACAAAGACACCAAATGTTTGAAGTGAACCAACAAGGGCACGGGCATAATGCAGTTTAAGTTTTCTGCCGATCAAATGAATTGGACATCACCAAGCAAAATGCTCATAAAGACAGAAAGGTTCTTTGATGGACGAACCATCCATCGAAATTCTAGCATGGCTTCATTACATGAGCAACTGAATAACTTATAAGATGGCTAATTTCTATAATGACACTTGCCAAAAAGGTTTTACTTGAACCGTGTTTTAGATAAACAAAACAGAAGTCACAAGACAAGAAAATCTGGGGAAATGCCACTTTATTAAACCTATTTTGGGTTAAATCTGGCATAGACTCCACCTTTAATAACAAGTTGTCCAACATGCATAGTTCTGACAATACATCTTTTTGTAATCGCACAACCACATATCCATTCGACGGTATTAAAATTATTGAAATGGGTCTGCTATGGAAGTACTCATGATTAATATCAAAATGGGAACCTTATGAACATAATGGCGAAAGTTTAGGCAAACCTTTAAGGAACATTAAAGAATGAAATGATTGTAACAATATAAGCCAAGAAAGAAAGCAACAAAAAAAATGGACAATTAGTTTAGCCAATCAAACATAAGTTTTAAATAGAGTGAAAATTTTAAAGTAAAGGCTGTAAAATATAAATCATTTCTGCACTCACCGCCGCTTCAACATTTGCTGGGGACTCGTCATTGGGGCTTGAAAGCATCGAAATAATACTCAGAACTATGCTCTCAACCTGCACACGGGATGCTAAAAGTACTCAAGAACCATACAAGTTACTACTGAAGCCTATAAATAGACAAAATATTTTAAAACAATGCTAAATATAGAGAAGCTTCAAGATTTACAAAAACTTTTAAGTATTTTCAATATAATTTTATAAGGAAAAACCAAAAATTAAAATAAAATAATTACTTTTGGTGGTTCGGAGTGCATGTATTACACAACTCCATACTTGAATATGATATTCTCAATATGATGAATAAATTTGTTATATTCGTGAATTTTATAATAATTAACATTTTTATTAGCAAGTCACACCACAAAAACTCAGAGCCATGTAGGTTGCCATTAAAACCCATAAATAGAAAAAAAGAGTAAAAAAATAGACAAAAAATTCACGCTTCAAGTGGTTGTTATTGGACCAAAAGAATAATGGCAGAATGATAGTTGAGAAAAAAACATCTAGGGGTCAATCTCAAAAAAAAAAATTATCAAAAGTGCACCTTTGAAGTGAAGGTTCCCCTCTAACTCATGATGAATCATCAAGCACGTGAGATTTAGGCTTTGTTTGGCACAGCGGCAGAGCCGCGGCGCG